ACTTTCTCATGATAGTCTTTCTGGTTCAAAATCACTGTGCACCTTCCTTTGTCTGCTGGGAGAATGATGATGTTTTTGTCCTTTCTAAGAGTGGTGAGTGCATCCCTCTCCTCTCAACTGATGTTGGAAGGTGGTGGTTTGGCATTGCTGAGGCAGGCTGAAACTTTGATTCTGAGCTGTTCTGCTTCAGCCTCTTTAATTTTGTTGTTGCGGATGGCTGACTCAGTAGCTGTGATCATCTCCACCAGAGGAATTCTACTTGGTGCAACCGCAAAGTTCAGTCCCCTGGCGAGAATCTCTGTCTCTGGCTGGGTGAGCTGTCTGTCAGATAAATTCTTCACCCACTTTTCTGTCTCCCTGGCATGTAATTGACTACTGGAGTGTTGTCCTACACTGAATGTGTCAAGTGCCAGTGAATGTGCCAGTAGTCAATTTCTTTGTTGATTTGCTTTGTTTTGTTTTTTTGAATGTCCAGAGGACCAGATTTAATTTTTTTAGATTTTTCTACCTGGATTATTGAGCATGCATCAGGATAAAAACAGGAACATCTGCATTGGTCCCTGCCAGGAGTCCAACAGATTCTTAAAGCCACTTAGAGAGGTCAAGGTCGAGAGCTTCGGATCTTTTTGTAAGATATTCTAGGAAACAGGAGCGGAGTAAATCAACATATTTAACACTTGAAAAAATTTGTACACAAATTTGGTTGGTCGTTTAATTAGTCTAGTTCTACTTCATATTAAAAAAATGCCCGACATTATTATTTTTTTAATCTGAGGTAAATTTTACAAACAAGCATTCATTTGGTAAGCTTTACACTATTATTATGTTATTAGTTTTATGCCAACCACCCAAGATCAGCAATCTTTTGTATCAATTCAGCTCTCAAAAAAATTCAGTCTCCTCACAAGCAACCTGACATCTACATGTCTCTTCTGCGTATTCTTCGTGATAGACATACATATGTACATGCCGCATTGAGCGCCGAATACTACGTTGATGCCATTTTGAATGTGGCAAAATTATTATTACTTATTTACAATATATATACATATATACATATACATATATATACATACATATATATACATACATATATACATATATATATACATATATACATATATATATACATATATACTTATATACATATATACATATATATACATATATATATACATATATACATATATACATATACATATATATATATATACATATACATATATATATATATACATATACACATA